CATCTGAGAATTACTTTCGGTTTGTTTCTTACATGGCCAAATTTATTTAAAAAAATAGTTCACTATTATAGCTTATTGTGAACACGATGTGTCTCTTTCAGGTTTATACCCAAATTGGGAGAATCTATATTTTGCCTTAATCCAAATTTCAGCAGCCAGTAATCAGCCAACAATTTAAATTTAAAACTTTAAACCGTATATTGTACTGTACAGTACAGTCCGAAGACTTACTCTGGAAAGTTGTTTCTGGCAAAATTGGCTCTGGCATGAGTGTATATATTTGGATGAATTATTATAAGTGATGGTTTCATTAATAAGGATTTTAAGTTAAACACAGAATTCTTTAAGATAAACATTTTTACGGCTTTTTACAGGTTATTTTTACAGTTGCCAGTAATCGGGGAACAGTTTATCAATACAGTAAGTAAAACAGAAAGGTTTTCAAACATTCATGCCCTTGCAATTTGTTTTTCCAAAGCTATAGCCTGTGTGAGAATTAGCATTGCTGAATAAGATTATAGTATGACTAATGTGTGTTCTTATTTTAAGCTCTGATACACCTCAGACAGCCATTGGGAATTCAGTAGCTGGGTTCACTTTGTGCCTTTCCTGTGTTGATTCTGCCTTAGCAGCTTGTAATTGCATTGCGATTCCCCTTGGTTTGTTGTAATATCACTACAGCACTACTAATTACCTTTCTTTCTAGTATATCCCCATAGAGTTTCAGAATCTGTCTTATAATTATTATTATTAATTATTTATTTGATTAAAGAAACTTACAGGTATACCCATTTATATAGCAGAACAATCTTAAGTAATGTACCTTGCTAAACAGCAACGTCCCACCTCAGATTTGAACCCCCCACTATCTGGTTATGGGTCCAGAGCTCAAAACTCTAGTCACTGCAGTTGCAGTGATAAGAATTCAAATGTCACGATTGCCATCTGTCTTTTTTTCAAGGGTGTATTTTCTCTGTCCACGTTTTACATGACAAAATGACATCCATGTCACAGAATTATACTGTACGTCTTTGATTTCAATGAACATATGTATGTTTATTGTACCATGGCAGTCTTGAAGTGTCAGTAGTTTCTCTTCACTTGCCTCATTTTCCCAGAAGGCAGCTTCAATTTATCTATCGTACAGCCCTTTTTTTGCATGTCAGTCTCTGACACAGCATTCACCAGCTGTTTATAGACTTCAGGATTTATTTAGAGCTTGTGTTGTTTTGAAGATAGAGTTTGCTATTGGAATGGGATGTAATCTTGGATTACGGTGCATTTTAGAAATGGAGTGCTCTAACCACTAAACATGGAACGGAGATGTATGAAATATCCTCATCTTATGCCGACAGCATAAAACGTCCCTGTTTTATTCACAAGGGCCTTGCACTATGCTTTGATTACCAAGTAGCTTTCAAAACATATTACAAATGATGCTTCTTAGTCTATTTTCAAAGCATTTTTAGAATAAAAAATGAATTCCCCCTTTTTACTTATTCATTTTCTTTTGAGGCTTAATGCTTTCATTCTTACTTTCCTCTATTATGTTCAGGAAGCATGTAGCGAATTTCACTCTGGTGTGTAATGGTTTGAATATTGTATGTTGGGAATAATGTTTTTTTCTTCATCTTTCCATAGCATTTCATTTCCTATTTGTTTTCTTCCTTGTACAGTAAAACGTTTGCTGCTGTTTTAATTACCTGTTTGTGACAAGGCTCGACATCTATAACAAGTGTGTTTGCTATGCAGCTCAGGTACTTGCAGGCATGCCAGTGTTCTGACAGCATGTGCTGCATTACAGAATTTTCTGGCTCTACTAGGAAACTTTTGTCTGGTGCAGTGTGTGGAAGCAAGAGTGTCTGTGCTGTACAGAATGAATAGGGCCTCTCCATTACACTCTCACACATGGTATGATGCCTCTCTGCAATGCCAGAATGCTTTTCCTACTCAGATTTTGGTAGCCTAAGCCAATGGCCTATTTTGGTGACTGGAAACTGTGCTTTATGAGATTATGTGCTTTGGAAGAGACATTTAACCAATGTCCTGTCTACTAGTAATAATAATAACAATCCTTACACTTAAATAGCTCTTTTCTGGAGACTCCACCTCTCAAAGCACTTTACAGGTAATGGGGACTCCCCTCCACCACCACCAATGTGTAGCCTCACCTGGATGATGCTACAGCAACCAAAGTTCACCAGTATGCTCACCACACAAAAGCTATCAGTATGGAAGAAAACAGAGTAATGAAGCCATACAATAAATGGGGATGATTAGGAGGCCAGTAGTGGTAAAAGCCAGGGGAAAATTAGACCAGGACACTGGTGTACACCCCTACTCTTTTAGAGAAATGCCCTGAGACTTTTAATGACCTTGGAGTGTTAGGACCTCAGTTTTATGTCTCATCCAAAGGACAGCATCCTTTTTTGCAGTATAGTGTACCCATCACTTAGGCATTAGGACCCACATAGACCCCAGGATGACTCCCTACTGATCCTTACTAAAACCTCTTACAGCAGCAGCTTTAGCTTTTCCCAGGGGCTTTCCCATCCAGGCACTGACCACCTTAGCTTCAGTGGGTTGCCACTTGTGAGTTGCAGGGTGATGTAGCTGCTGGCAACTTTGTCATGAAAGATCTCTTAACATTTTTTTAAAATGGTATTATTATTATTTGAACAATGTCACGTAAGTCCGACAGGACGAACCGTGGAATGGCAGGAAAGCGATAAAGACCCTATGCGTAGCGGCGAGACAGGGGTTAGCCCGGGCTCAGCTGTCCAGGAGAAGCCGTATAGAAACCTAGGCCCTCAGGCCAAGGAAAGGAGTGCTAGGCGGGTCTCAGGTCAACTGAACAACAATGCTGACTGACCGAGTAGCAGAGCAGAAGCAGGAATTAAATAGGCTACACAATAAGACACACCAGAAAGACATGAATGATCAGAGGGAACTAGGAACAGAAGGAACGTAGAGTGCCCTCTAGGTGTAATGAGCGTGACAAACAACCTATAGGTACTGTATACTACACAATAGATAGAAGTCAGAATATAGCATGCTTTCATTATATTTCTGTGCATTTTCTATAAAAATACAATCATAAAATCAACAAGTCACTCAAAAGAAAATCATCCCTGTGAGTTGGCATGCATTAATATAAATTAAGCACTTAAATAAAAAGAGACACTACTCGCTTATATTAAGATGTGATGTAAAATTGGTTGGTTTCTAAGGCTTGTTTATGTTAAACATCAATACTTTATTTCTTTATTGCTCTGTAAAATTTACATAGTACTTTTAAAAATAGAATACAAAACAGAGAATTATGTCTATATTAATGTTTAATTATCGAACGTTGGGTTCTGGAAAAAGCAAACCCACATACAACCATTGATGAATCAGTAATATTCTGTTATGTTACAATAAAACAGTACTAGAAAAATAAATAGTATCACCATAAATACACAGAATAGTATAAATTAATGTGTTAGGAATTACTTACAAATTGCATTTTAATATCTAGACACAAAAGATACACAGGTAACCATTCGATTTATAGATTAAAATTGGAGCATAGATGACTTAAAGTAAATAATAACAAAATGACATTAGTAATGTCCAAGTCAAATTACTGCTTCTGTGTCAGGGTAGTTTTAAGATTCTTTAAGAACATTTCTGTGACTTCATTCACTGATCATCTTATTAGTGCTGTGTATTCTTTCCCAGGCCTTACATTGTTCGCTTTTAGTTCTAGATCTCTTTTCTTTCAGATCATTGAGTCAGAGGCTGTATGAAATATTTACGATGTGTGGGCAATGTTATTTCCAGGGAAATTTGGAAGAGAGGGAGGGGGAATATGATTTTAAAAGCATGAGCAGTGAGGCAAAAAAAAGATGAGAGATGTTGCTTCCTTCTTAGAAGTATGTACTGAATAGCAATAGTTTACTTTGAAACTAACCCAGTAAAAAAGAAAATTTGATGAAGCGTACTTTTATCATTGCGCTTACCTTCATTGCTTATGTTTCAATCAATTTTGTGCCAATTTCCCTGAGTCTGCAACTTTAAAGCTGTGTTCCAAAGTTATGCTTACCTGATCTGTTCCATTATCTCATAGTCGGTAATGACAATTTAGAAATGTTTTGTCTGTGAAAATGTATTTTATTTAATTATTAAGTTTCATTTCACTCGGTGAATTGCTTAATAGCTGAACTGAAAAGGATATTGACAAGATAAGACACTTTCACTTATAGCAGTGAAACACCTCATCTTCATTTGGCTATATTCCAACTCCACACTGACATAGTAATGTCTTCATGTCTGAAGAAAAAGGATTACTGAACTATAAAATCATTCCAGTAAAATAGTTCTCATTTTCTTTTCCTTTTTATTCAATTATCAGCCAAAAATTGAATTTGGAAGGTGAGCCTGAAAAAATGTACTTCCTGTTGCTGCCTGCATGAATTTAGTTATGGGCATCCACCATATTAGGTTAATCTGCCAGTTTTGAGAACCAAACAAATCATGAATAAATTACTTTGAAGAAAATAAATTGATTGTATTTTCTAAATCATGACAGCACTTTAGAATAGGGGACAAGTACAGAACATGTGTAATGTATGAATGATATAGTATGACTTGACATATGATAGACAGCTCCTGCATATAAAGGTTGGCCAACTACATATTAACATATATACTAATACGTATCTTTCAGGTACCATTAATAAGGCATGAATATTGTATTTACTTTCACTCAACAAAATGCGTCAGTAATACATGCCGAACAGGTGTCTTCTATTCTGAAATGTTATTGAAAATGCTGTTTTCTCCATGGCTTTGTGTGTATCTCAGAAATAAACCAATAATGTGGAATAATAATGTGCAATCATTTTTAATTGAATGGTGTTTTGGAGTTCCATCCTGACCATGGCCAACATCCGTAAGTTACTGTTACAGCAAGAGTTTGAAAGTTGTGCTGATGGCTTGTTTACTTTGCCTTCCAGTTTGGCGGAACTATGTACAACACAGGCCGGCATGTCTCCCTTCGTCTGGATAAAGAGCATTTGGTAAACATCTCAGGAGGACCCATGACGTACAGCCACCGGTTGGAAGAGATCCGGTTACACTTTGGCAGTGAAGACGGTCAAGGCTCAGAACATCTACTCAATGGACAGGCTTTCTCTGGGGAGGTAAGCTACTTGATATGGAGTGGGAGTGATACATTACAAGACATTAGAGGAAACATTAAAGATGCATTAACCTTTATTTGCAGATCTATTAGCACTGACGGTTTCGTTTTTCAGACATCCCAGAGGTTGCATGAAAACGCAAAAGGAAAGTGCTATTACAGCGTTATTGATTGCATGAATGTTTTTTTTTTCACAAAATAAAAATGAGTTGATATGAATAGTTGGGGAAGGTATACAGTACCTTATACAGCAGAGGTCTTTCAATTGAAAAAGACCAGAGCTCAGAGACTATGAAGGGCATACTCTGTGGTTTAAAAGCATATCGATCTTTTGCTCTAAATTCACCAGGCATGAGTTATTATTTTGTTTAGTAATACTGAAATGGGATGACAAAATATTGTTTTTTTCAACAGTGTATGCTTGGGATTTGATTCAAAAATAGCAAATGTCACATTCCTTATGCCACTGTATCTTTGTAAAACAACAGAGTGGTATTAGAAAAGAACAGAGTGGCGTTTTCTTGAGTATATTTAATACAGTTAGATACAGTACCAATAAAAGAGTAGAAGATCCAGCAGCTGGAAGATATATTCTCTTTCAAATATAACATTTTAGCTGCTACAGTGTTTTTTATAGCAATTTTTAGCTTCTGTGCTGGTTAAGTCCATGTCTTCCATTTTCTACGCCAGGTCAAAATGAGCCTCAGGTGATTATGAAATGACATGACCATTAGGTGTTAATGCTGTGAAATCACAACGGTATAGTAGCTTAGTACCCCAAATTGTGAGAGTAGTTTCAGTGCCAAATACGTTTGCTAAAAGGAAAGAAAAGCAAAAAAGTCCTGTAATGACTCTAAATGTAATCAAATCCCTTAGCTGCCTGTAGCTTCATGTCTGACATGTCGTGTCAATAACATTATTAGTTTAACAAGCTTTGGTGTTTTTTCAAAGTTAATTAAAGGTCGTGGACAAGAGGTGTGTGAGAGGCAAAATGAACAAGTTTGCTTCAAAGTAGTTTAGAAATCTATTCTGTCTATACCTTCTAGGTACAGTATCAATAATATGTAAACAAACTGAATCTTAAAAACACAAATACCAGAGAAAGCTGTCAATATTTAGAGTTTGTGCATCGTTCCCTTTCACTGCGGTCTAATCACTTTCCAAGCACTACAACCCCTATTTTGTTCTTTTGTTCACCATCCCATTTTTCTTGATTTGACTTTACCACAGTAAATTGCAGCATGAATGATTTTGTTTCTGCCTTACTTTGTCAGCACAAATTCTTCAGATGACTGCACCCTTGTGTTGTTTCGATAAAGCTAAGCTATGGTGTTCCTTTAAAGGTTGTGGACAGAACATGTTCATGAGTTCCAGATGTTACCATTTTGACACAGATGTACAGAATATTAACTATATTACCATCAAATCAGTGTACTTAAATTTTCTCTTTTTCATAGTCTTTGGGTATCTTATAACTAAAACCAACTAAAGGCACATTGTTTGTGTGGGAACAAGTAATAGGTTTATTCCATGCTGAAAAAAAGAAGAAAGAAAACACAACGTTTCGGCCGTGGAGCCTTCTTCAGGTGTGAGCTTTCAGGTCCCTCACACCTGAAGAAGGCTCCACGGCCGAAACGTTGTGTTTTCTTTCTTCTGTTTTTCAGCATGGAATAAACCTATTACTTGTTCCTTTGCAGCCTACACATGCTGACGCAGCTACCCACCTGAACTACATTGAATGTGTGTATCACTGTCAAATATTTACAGTCCAATGCTGATTGGATGCCTCTCAAAGGTATCTACACATGTCCCTGTCTAGGGGTCCTTACAACTATGTCAGCTCTAACAAGCTCTTAATTTTGTTTTCACATTTTCCGTGATGTATGTACAGCACATTCTTTATTCCCTGGTGTGTTTGTATTATTGTACATGGCCTCTGTCACCTTCTGCCTGAATATTAAAACCAAAGACTTGCATGAATTTCATCATTTAAACATGCATACTGTGTATTTCTAAATCTCCAATTTATTATGTTAATTTTATCCATTTTCATTTTCCAAATTTTATGGACCATCCTTTCAGTTTTATATCCTTGAGGAGATGCTTTATGTACCTTTTTAATAGGTACTCGATATCATGAGGGATATTTGACCACTCCTCCAAGCAGATCCTCTCTAACTCCACTAGCTTGTGTGACCTGTGCTTATAAGCTTCTTTCTTTACCTCCTTCTGAAAATGTGATAACCAGTCAAGAAAATAGATTGTTATGCTATTTAAAATTTTTGGCCATTGATTTTGATGCAATCATTGTATTGTAACATCTAACATCCTTTGCAGCCAAGTTTCAGATAAAAGGCACAATGTTTTGCTTAAAATACCCTGGTGAACTTTCTGATCTGTTTGTTCCTCAGTCCTAGCTAGTACAACAAGACCAGGGGATACAAAATTATCTTAAAGCAATACAAATCCATTTGTATTCTTTACAAGAATTGGTATTCTTTTTCAACATTAGCTTCACCTCTCTGTGCTGTGTTCCCATTTGACTTGACACTTAATTAGTAAATATTCGGTAAATATTGGTGGAGAGTTTTCTGTGTGTTCCCTCTCAACTCTACTGCACTCTCCAGATTCATGAGGTAACCTTGAGTGATTGGACACTTTAAGAGGTATTGTATCCTGATGATTCCTAATCATTGTCTTTTGGTTTGAGTTATTCAGATAAACTACTTTTCTGACCACACATTTGGGTAAAATAGTCATGTACTGTACCCTCTTTGTGGTGGAGTAGAGAACATCTCACTTCTCCTGACCTTATTTGTGTACTGTCATCTCCCATGTTTTTTTTAAGATGTAACTAGAGTCGTTGAGGTTGCTAATCCTTTCCCTTCAGATCTTCAGAAAAAGTTCTGTGTTACTGAGTTATTTACTTTTGTCTCTTAATACTTGGTGGCAGTCAGGTGACTTCTAATAGAAAATTGTAGAAATTTACCAAGGGTTTGTGAAACTTAAAGATGATTGCAAATCATTAGAAAATTACATTTACATCATTTATTTTCAACACATTTGCAATGTATGCCTTAATGTGAACATTTTGGTATTCAGAAAAGTATATATTTTATTTACAGTTATGTTGATATGTTCTGTACTCCTTTTAATCACATCACATTTGAATTTATAATTATTGAAAAGTCTTGATGTGCATCTGCATTTTGTTTTCGTAATCAACTTTAAGTTAAAATGAATTGAGTATATGAATACATTTGGATGCAGCACTCTATTGTCACTATACTGTAAGTAGTAGAATATTACATTATGTTCTAAAAGGTTGAAGGTTTTAAACATTACTTAAATTCCTGATGTACGTTAGTTATACATTTCTTAACAGAATTGCCACTGTACTTTAGTTATTAAAGTATTAACAGAATAAATATTAATAAGGCTACCTAGGGGGGGGGAAGTGAGTTTGTAAAAAACTGAACACATGTTTCAATGTAATTTAGGAAGTAATGGGTAATATTAATATCCCACAGCAGTGTAACACTTTATGTGTAAAGAAGAAATTGCATTAACATCTGCAGCCTCTATCATTTAATATGGTTATGAATCAATTAATACTTGGCATTTTCTTCAGGGGTAATAAGAACAACAGCAATTTGCATGGCAACAAAATAATTGTACACTTGACAGGCAAATTAATTATAATTCATGATAATAATTTATTTTGCTTTATGAGGTAGGCTGATATTTTAATAAAAGAGAGTATCAATATCATCAGACAGTATCCAGGCTTGTGACCTCAAGCATAGCTCTTTGTGTTTATAGGACTATTATTTATATGAAAAAGAGTTGTGTAGGTGGTCAACCTGTCCTTTAGTGCATGTATTTTTTTTTTAGTATTCAGCAAGCAATCCTCATTAATCTATTTGAACTTGAAGTCTTCCAAAAAACCAATTGCCTTTCTTGGAAGGACAAGGTAAACTTAGTCTTAACCAGTCTGGAAACTTTGCTAAAGAGATAAAATAACAGCATAGCCAAGTGATAAAAGAAACCTGATTTGCTCAGTATCACATTTTGTTCTGATAATGTTAATAAAGTACTGTGTACGTTGTCCTTAATCTATAAAGAATTCAGATGTGTGACTGTGATGATTTTTTTTTCCTTACAATATGTGCTAAGAAGTATTCGGGCAGAGAACAGATGCATAGTAGGGAGTTTGACACAATTTATCTGTGTTGATGTTTATCTTTTTCATTTTAAGCAAATGTGTTTACTTGCTTGGACTCTTCTTCTGAAGCTGTCGATTAGATTTGCCAGACATCTGGCATAGTACAACATGTTCTTTCAGCACAGGTGCAACCACTGATGTCTTGTCAGGGATGGTGAAAAGTTATCAAGAGGATTGTTATACAGTGTTTGTTTAACGGCAGCTCCTTTACTACTGATACTACACCAAAACCCATTAATCATTTCAGTACTTTAAAATAGAGCTGCTTGTCTTAATTTCTAAAGTACACATGCAAGTCATGGCTGTCAACCGTGAGCTTTTGTAGAACCACAACAACCAAAAGTATTTGAAGTCTGAACAAACTGGCTTAGTCCAGGGAAGCTGAAACTTCACATTTAGAGTTGTCCCAATTCTGCAACATGAGGCACAAAACGTCCAGTAGAATTGTTCTGAATTTGAGTTTTGTCACTGTAGACAATTTATTAAATGTGTAGAATTTAGATCAAATAATGTTATTTTAGAATTCTAAAGCAAACTAGTAGAACCTTATTTAACATATTGTGCTGTAATTTGGTCACCATGTTACAAAAAATATATTGTTGCTCTGGAATCAATGCAGAGAAACATGACCAGGTACAGTATATTCCAACACTTTTAATGTATGTTCTGCCAGGTGTGTTCTGGTAAAAGTGCTCAAAATTCCTCAAAGACATTGACAAAGTCAACCCAGTAATCTGCTTCCAAAAAAGAACTGAATCATGAATCAGAGAACATAG